CTCATTGATTGATATATTTTAAATATATAATTGAAAATATATACATTCCTCCATTGTCCCCTGTTCCTGTTTTTATGAGGTGGGGGGGGTTGGTACAGTGGGAGGAGCCTCTGCCCTCGTCCATCTTTACTCCACTGCTGTGCTGGTGGCCAAACCCGTGGCCTGCTGCTCATTAAAGCAGACACATTAGTTCTGCTGCTGATCTGCTGAAGACTGAAAACACACGCTCATTCTCATTTAATTCAACAATCCTCCATGGTGAGTTAGCAGAACGGCATTCTGGGTAATGTCATTGTGAAGATTAATGATGCTTTGGGTGTGTTTTCTTTACTCTTTGTTCTTTTATGGTAACTTACTGCCCACACAGACTCCCCTGGGTTGAGATAGAAACATTAAGCACCTCTCTCCACCAGTGTGCACGACGAGTGTGCACGACGAGTGTGCACGATGAGTGTGCACGTGACTTTCCTCAAGCACCTCAGCATTAACATTATTATTTCATTTCATTATTTTCAAATGAAAGGCTGTTGGTTCCTGCTGCGCTCTGTTATTATCACTCTGTTAAGTAAAAATACATTTCCATGTCATAGATATTCCCTCTCTTCATATCTCCTGTCTCCACCCTCCATACTCACACCTCCTCCTCCCTCTCTGAGGAGATTTATTATCACACTCTCTCCTACTCCCCATTACTGGCCGATCTGGTCAGAACTGGTTACAGTACTTCCACAACTCCCATCTCCCCATTCATTTCACACCCCTGTATCATGATTCAAGTCACTGCATATCAACAGAGAGAAGGGGGGTGGGGGGGTGGTGGGGTGGCAGAGAGAGATGGGGTGCAGAGGTAGAGAGAGAGAAAGATGTGGGAGGCAGAGAGAGGGAGAGTGAAAGTGTGAAGTAGTTCTTTGTGGATGTTCGACATTGAATCCCCTGAGTCTTAATTATCACTGTATGAATTATTACAACTGCAGCAACTCGAACACACACACACACATACACACACACACACTGCTAACACACCACACTGGGGAGGGTAAAAATATTGATTTATCAGTGCATTGGCCCCCCCCCCCTCCAATTCAATATCGATTCAGCAATCTTCTGGATCGATTTAAGCCCCTTGTGTTGAAGGACAGCAGAAGTTCAGTGGGGAACATTGCCCCCTGCTGTCAGAGAGGGGTACCTACTGAGTCACTCGGTGCGGGGCGGAGGAAGGGTGCTGCTACATTGCTAGTTGGCAGTGATTTGGTCCAGGTGTGTCTGTGGTTAGGATCACTAAGGTGCTAATGTTAATGACAGCATTCACTGCTAACATGCTGCTAACACGCTGCTAACACAATGCTGACACTCTACATGCTAACATTGCTATTGATTCTGTTTATTTCCTATATTCAGTCAGTTTACAGTCTGAATGTTTTCTTTATTTCTTGGTTGGAAAAGTTCTGATCCAGTTCACAGGATTAGATATAAATATCAGGCTAGGTATTGAAGTACAGGCCTTGTACCGTGGAAGAGGGTTAGGGTAACTTAGCACCACCTACAGCTACATATATAGCAATGCTAACATAATAGTGACAGGTGTGACTACACTGACACCAGCCTTCAGCTTTAGTTGGACCACACTAGTCCACCCTGGTCCACCCTTGTCCACCCTAGTGGACTGTGAAGCTCCATGGTTTTGAAGGTGTTTAATGTTTGGAATCACACACACACATTGGTGCAGATAGCTCACCTGGTTTGGATCAAGGGAAACTCCTCCTTCAGTTCTGTTCAGCTGAATGGTCTGCAGAGGTTCTGCTGTACCACTAGTACTACTGTGACCGCTGGTACTGCTGGAGGTGTGTGGTCCACTCACTGGTTGCTGTTGAGAATCAGCTGCTTTCCCTGAACCGGGAGACCCGTTCCTTCTGTCGCCACCTCCAAGACCCAGGAAACTGGGCTTGGACCCCAGTCTGTGTCCTGCCTTCTGAGGTTGCTTGTTTGAAGGGACACCACTGGACGTTTGCCCCCCCGAGGGACTTCTGTGGCTTAGGTGGTACGGTCTGTGGCTCGGACTGGGATTTGGAGACTTGTTCGGACTGGCAGAAGCTCTTTGGGTTGAGTGGAGCGTTGGATGTGAGGGGGGGGCAGTAGTAGTAGCACAGTCCACTGGCTCAGGACCTCCCTGAACTTCCTGGACACCTGGAGGCGGTTGTGATACATATCGTTGAAATAAAGTTGTGGGGGAGGAAGTGGGAGACAAGTCCCACTGCTCCAGAGGGAGGGCCATGCAGACGGCTTCCTGTTTCAGCTGAGTCAGGTGAGTACCGCACACATCACAGCAGCTGTCACGCTCGTTCCAGGCCTGCCGAGAACTGTTGGGCACCTGGAGCTTGTCGTGGAGGTGTAGGGAGAAGGAGGGATCCTGGAAAGAACGGTAGAAATTAAGAGGCACAGTGGAGAACTGACCTCCATCATTAGAAGAACAAGTGGAACAGACTGTGGATGAAGTGTTTCATTCATCTTAGATACACAGAGTGTTGTGTGTGAGAGAGAGTGAGATGTCATTTATAACCTCTGTGTTGTTGACCTTGCCTCTTCAAAGAGCCTCTCTTTCTCTGTCTCTCTCCCTCTCTCACACACACAAACAAGAAACACACACCAACACTGTACACATCATCATGAGATGATTGGATCTGATCATAGGCCTCTATGACACTAAAACATTTTTACACACACTCTCTCTCTCTCTCTCTCTCTCTCTCTTTGTCTCCACCCCCCTCCTCCTCCTCCAATGGCAGTGATAAATTGCCTTCATGCCTGGGTCATTTGTCTTGTGGTATTTCACACCTGAACACACACTGCTCTCACTCCTTCCTTCTTCTCCCACTTTTTCCCTCACCCATCAGTGTCTCCTAAGGTTAGTGAGGCTTACTGAGGTGAGGCTGGAGGTAAAGATCTGCCTGACAACTCACATATGTATGACTTACACACACACACACACACACACACACACACACAAACATGAAACAGTATAAATTAGGTTACTGAATAAAAACAGACTACATCTGAGGAGAATATGAACCTAATCTCCAATATATACTCTAGGTTTTGGACAGTGTAAGGAAACTAGAGAACCTGGACAAACACACACACACACGGAAATCAGTCCATTCAGAGGGACTAACAGTTGGAGTCGGACATTGAACCAATGAGCTCTCAGTCACCCAGACGTCTCTACCTTTTCATCCTGCAGGTCACAAACAAAATCAACTGACACCTGAAAAACATCAGCCTCCACAGACCAGCCTCCAGACAAGTCAGTGTTTCTGCCTCTCTGTGTTTCTGAGGTGATGAAGATGCAGTTGCCATGGCAACAAACCGAAGGTAGGTTCTGTATTTCCCACTCCTGCTGGCTGTGATATGAATTCCTGGTTAAAACATTTGTGTCACTGTGTGTCGGGTTCAAATCCTGTGGAGCCTTCAGTGGACCCCTTTATTTAACCAGGGCTGACTGTGAACAGCGTGGCTCCGTCATCAGGGTCCAACCATTAGCTGAAGGTCAACACTGACTTTATTTATAAAACAGCTTTTTGAGGATTGTAAAACCATCGTCATGGTGACCATCCCAAAATGTTAGGCTCTTTCCTACGTCACACAGCTGCTGCTAATGATATTTTACTAATAATTCTTTATAACTGAACAAACCTGATTCATTTATATTAATGGATCAGTTTCAATAACCACAACCCTAATGATGACTGGTTAAACAACAGACTGTTATCATCATTCTGTGAAATCAGTCCCAGGTCTTGGATCTAGACCTTCAGGAGGGCCTAGACCCAGACCACTGCTTCAACCTGTTTCTGTAGGTTTAGGGTTCTAGACTGGCTGGTACTGTCCTCAGATCAGAGGTGGCCCAGAGATTTCAGGAGACGTCCAATCTTTGAATCGGCTAAAACAGACTGACGGCACAGAATGGTGCACCTACTGGAGGGTGCTGGAATTGGCAACGACCCAATCTACCTTCTAGTTTGTTGCCATGGCGACTGCTTCTCCATCGCCTCACACATACAGAGAGAAGCAGAAGACAGTTGTCTCCAGTGCTGCTCTGCTGTCCTTCCTTTGATGGGGGGGGGGGGGGGGGGGGGGGGGGGGGGGGGGGGGGGGGGGGGGGGGGGGGGGGGGGGGGGGGGGGGGGGGGGGGGGGGGGGGGGGGGGGGGGGGGGGGGGGGGGGGGGGGGGGGGGGGGGGGGGGGGGGGGGGGGGGGGGGGGGGGGGGGGGGGGGGGGGGGGGGGGGGGGGGGGGGGGGGGGGGGGGGGGGGGGGGGGGGGGGGGGGGGGGGGGGGGGGGGGGGGGGGGGGGGGGGGGGGGGGGGGGGGGGGGGGGGGGGGGGGGGGGGGGGGGGGGGGGGGGGGGGGGGGGGGGGGGGGGGGGGGGGGGGGGGGGGGGGGGGGGGGGGGGGGGGGGGGGGGGGGGGGGGGGGGGGGGGGGGGGGGGGGGGGGGGGGGGGGTCTCTGTCTGTCTGTCTGTGAAGTGCTTTATTTTTATTATTACATATTTTCATTTGTGCTCCTTCACCATCTCTAGGTGACCAGTAATGTAAACTGTTAACCGTCACGTAGGTCAAAGGTCAAAGCTCCAATCTGTACCAGAGACACATTATTGTTCAGTGTGAAAAGTGAGCAGATGTTCTCTCAGGTCTGGTTCTAGATCCCTGTCAGAAGAAGAAGGATGTGTTACCTTGCTGGAGTACGGCCCAGGGAGGAGCAGCTTCAGGGCTTGTCTTTTCATCTCTGTCAGTCGGACATTACAGTTCTCACACAACATTCCTCTGTCACTGCAGGGAGAACTGCCACTGCCTGAGGCTGGTGATCCGGTGCCGAAACCCGGAGAGCCACCCAGAGAACCGGGGGATCCTGTCTCTATCCCTGGAGATACTGTTCCCAGTGACCCAGAGAAGGATCCCGGTGAGGAGATTCCCGAGCCTGGGGACGGGGTGCCTGTGGAGCTCGGCATAGAACCAGCGCCCTCTGGGTTGGGACGCATATTTGACCTTGAAGTTTCCTCGTAGGCCTTTCGGTACCAAGTGTCAGGAAAGAAGAAGGCAGACTTGGTGGGTGAAAGTTCAGGTACCTGTGAAAGTGTGCGGGACAATAAGGTTATTAATATGGTCTGACATCATCCAGGCACCAGGGGGAGCACTGACAATGGTTGTCTTATAAAGTTCTGCTTCAGTGAAGTCGCTTAACAAATGTCGCTGGGCCTTGGTACTGGGCCTGTTTTACTGGGCCTGTCAGTGCTGCTAAAACACTGCTAACATGAAAGATGCTAGCACAATTATCGACAACGCGATAATTGTCTTACTGGACGTAAGACAATTATACCGTTGTTGATAATTGTGCAACCAGTTCAGTTCACAGGATATTAGACAACGCACTGATATATGTGAACCATGGAACAAGGCTGTATCCTTACTGTAGCACCACCTACAGGACAGGCCAAAGTAGGGTAGATTCATACTCAGTGTTGACCACCACAAAATACCACAGTAACCAACCAGAGTGCAGACTTCACCTTAAGTCACACTTTTTTTTTTCCTCCTCTCAATGAGACGCTTGAAGAAAATCAAAGGAGTTTTAATTTAGATTCTTGCTGCCTGAGTAGTTCCAGTCAGAGAGGTTCACTGATGTGGTGTTGGCTGGAGAGGCACTGTTCTGCACCAGGCAGGGAGGGAGAGAGGGAGGGAGGCAGGGATGCAGGGAGGGAGCTAACTCCAGACCAACTCTGGGTTTTAAATACAGACTGACCAGACCAGGTATGACCAACAGGTACTGTGGTACCTTGTCGTACACATCTGTGTCCTCAGTCTCTGTGGATCGTGACTCAGGTTTATGTGTAACAGTAATACAAACTAAAGACAAGGCAACAATACCACATTTTCTCATACCACTGTCAGCACTACAACCACTGCTATACAGTAGCCAGTGTCCTGCTGCAGTATTGCTCTCCTGACCTTTACTCCTTTACAGTAGCTTCAATTTTCATTTCATGGATTTCTTGCCTCTGTAAAGTTCTATGTATAGTCCTGTCTGGGTCTAGAACCATTATTTTATATTCCATTTTCAACATACATCCAGTACCTCTGTGGACCCTTTAGGGCCCACAGACCCCTGGTTTGACACCTCTGCCACTGACCCTTTGGGAATATGTTTAGTGATGTACCAGATGAAGTCAGAGGTGATGTCCATGCAGAGCCACTTTAGTCCGTTAGCAGATGGGTGTGTCCATCATGCAGTCTATGGTCCTCTGACGCACCAGCAGAAAACCTGTTTAGAATTTATTCCTCTGGTACTTTGGTCTTTAGACTGCACTAACTGCTCATTTCTTTTCCGCCACTGTGTGATTCGTTCGTCTCTATTTCATGGCATATTCTTCCACATCAGGACGGACTCTGCTGCTGCACGCTAATTCAGCCTCCAGGTTTTTCTAGATCTTTCTTCCTCACAGTCAAAATTCAAATGCAAATTCACAGGCAAGATTTCACATAACATCTGCTGAAACCTGGTTTCATTTCCATCTGCACCTTAACGGGGGCGGGGGTTAACGACAGGTCCACCGACCTGACAACTTACCCCATGTTTTCTGCTGCGGCTGCTCACGGACCTGTCCTTGTTCCCAGACAGTGAAGTCATTTTGGAGGTGGGAGAAGGAGGAGGTGAGGAGAGGAGAGAAAACCTCTGCTGCTGCAGCCTCACACCCAAATACGAGCGGCCGTCTCACTGTAGAGCCCCCCCGGCAGTTTCCTCCTCTCCATCTGAAACCAGCATCACGCTCCTCCAAGGTGGCGCAGGTGGAAACGCTCACATCTCCATTTCTTCACCGACCACCAACCAAAAAACAAAAAACAAACAAAAAAAACCGCGTTGTTCTGTTACAGGAGTCGATCAACTCCGTCCTCACTGCTCTTGTCTGCGGCTGCTCAGGTGAGACCGAAGAAATCCAACACCATCCGGGTCTCAGTCTGTGACCGAACGGTTCCACTGGTTCGACCAAGCAGAAGAAAAACACTGCTGCTGCAGAGACACGTCTTCACTGGTATCAATGTCCCCGCACCTTACTGCTGACTGACTGCGGCTCTGCGCACTGTCTCAGTGTGTACGTGCGTGCGCGTGGGTGTTCGTGCGACCACATCTGGAAGAGGGCGGGGCCTCTCTGTGACATATCCACCACAAACCAGACCTAATCAGAGATCTGCCTCTGTCTGTCGGTCTGCTCATCAGTAGTTCAACTCCTCACCAAACACAGCTGCCGTCTGTCCTGGGATGAAGTAACTTGACATTTGTTCATTTAGCAGACGCTTCAAGCATGTGGTTCCTCTGGGAATCGAACCCCTCGCTCTGCTTCCAAGGCAGGCTTGCTAACCGCTACACTATGGAACCGACTTATGATGAGGGTCGGAGAGAGCTCCATGACCACCCTCTGGAAGGGAAGGCGTCCACAGCAAAAAAAAAAAAAAAAAAAAAAAAAAAAAAGACCCAGGAGTGGAACTGGTGGAGAATGTGATGAAAAGGTCGATCCCGTCACCACTGGAACTGAAAAAAAACATGGTTCTCACATGGTTCTCACATGGTTCTGTCTTGTCATTTCTGACCACTGCACTCACCAGTCAATCAATCCATCAATCAAGAGAATTGGAACCAAGAGGAGAAGCCAATTTTGGAGTTCAATAGAAGTCAGTTAAAAAAGTTCTAGTTAAAAGTTCTGGCAACAGTTTTCTGGGATTCAGAAAAAGTAATCTATCAGTTAGGATTAGGATGAACCGGAAACATCCTTCTCCATCATGACAAACTCTGGCACACTGAGCTGAAGGAGGAGTAAACATGTGTGAACGTGGCGCCCTCTGCTGGTTCTGTTAATCGCTTGCTGGATCAGCCACAATACAGCTGGGTGTGATCTTTCCTCGGGGGTTTGGTGCCTGGACCCCCCTCCCGATCCCCCTCCCATACACAGTGCAAAACATTCTTTTTTTGGCCGTTCCCTCCACGAGTCGTCATCAACATCATCTGTCGTCTCCTCATCAGATACTTTTACCTAAGTTGCCA